CCCCAAAACCCCAAAACCCCAAAACCCCAAAACCCCGGGTTTTGCAAAGAAAATTGATACTGATTAGTCAAAATAGATATGAACCAAATTTTGGATATTTTTAGGAAATGGAAATTTAGTCAAGGCTCATTGAGGTATCAAGTGCGACAATTCTTCTAGGTCTCTTTGGAGTGAAGGTGTTGAAATCTACCTCTGAGTCAGGCTGGTTGTCAAGAGCAGCTTCGATTTTCTCTTCCAGCTCTAGCGTCCAGTTTGTGGCAACTTCTACGGCTTTCAAGTTTTCTTCAACTTGGCTTACTTTGGTAGCTCCAAAGATACAAGTGGAGACATCTCTATTGACTAAAGCCCATGCAAGGGCAAGTTGAGATTGAGTACAACCAACTTCTTTAGCAATATCTTCAAGCTTGTTTAGGGAATCAAACACCTTGTCTTTATTTTCATCCTTTTTTCCACAATACTCTGTCCAGCAGACAGACTTTCCATAGTCTGTAGACATCCTAGAACCTTCAGGGATATTCCCGTCATTGTATTTCCCAGTGAGGAGTCCCATCGCAATAGGAGACCAGATAGTAGTTCCGTATTTATAGTTCTCATAAGAGTGTCTAAGATTCTTCTCAAAGTTCTCTCTTTTGAGAGCATTGTATTGGCATTGATCAGCAATTGGTTTGTGGAGATCTTCCTCCTTACAGATTTCCATGGCTCTAGCAATTTGGTCTGCAGTCCACTCAGAAGTAGCCCAGTAGAAGGCATATCCTTCTTCAATTATCCAATCCAAGGCTCTGCATGTTTCATCAATAGGAGTCTGAGTATCTGGTCTATGACAGAAGATCACATCAACATATTCAAGGTCAAGTCTCTTCAAAGAATTCTTTGTTCCTTCAATAAGATGCTTTCTGCTAAGCATCTTATCATTAGCTCCTGTACCTCATGCAACCAGTTTAGTAGAGACTACGAAATCTTCTCTGGGAGCTCCGATTGCTTTCAAGCCTTTTCCTAGAAGAGTCTCAGCTACTCCTCCCCCATATGATTCAGCAGTATCAAAGAAATTAACACCTAGTTCAAATGCTTTCTTCATGCACTCAATGATGTCTTCTTCTGCTTTCTCATCATGGGCGGTCAGCCATGTTCCGAAAGACAGAATTGATACCTTGAGTCCAGTGTTTCCTAGAGATCTATAGATCATCTTTGGCTTTTCAGCTTCCATGTTATATCTTATTTTGATATATCAGTCCTAGCTTATATAATAGGGGTTTTGGGGTTTTGGGGTTTTGGGGTTTTGGGG